GTCAAAACCTGGATCTGGACACAACTGGTGAATCACTACCAAATGAGTGATGCCTTGGGGGAGCTGCGAAGAGACATTTTAGATGGAATCATAAAAAAAGTCCAGGAAGCTTTGCAAAGCTCTGAGCATCGAGCTCCCCAGACGATCTCGCAGTTCTTGGACCACTTCTGCCAAGTGCTAGACAAAGAGTTAGTCCTCTCAAAGGACAGTTTAGACGTGATCCTCTTCAAGAACACGGCCACCGTTGGGCAGTTCTCTGGGGACATACAGATGTTTCTCCCCCAGGTTGAAGAGAGCCTGCTCTCCATGTGGGAGGGTGTCAGGGTGGACGGGACTCTCTCTCGCCTTCACTTCAAGCCCCAGGATGAAATTTTCAAGCGAGTCTTCGGCTGTGGGAAGCAGTGCCCATTCTGCAAGGTCCCCTGTGAAGCAGGAGGCAATGACCACAAGGAGCATTTTGCATCGGTGCATCGGCCTAACGGATTGGGGAGATACCAATTTGAAACCACAAGCTGCCTGGTGTATTCTTTGTGTTCCTCTGATGTGGTTTCCACATCACGTTTCAAAAACTGGGACACCAACTATGAATGGCACCCCTACCAAGCGTATCGTGAGGTCTACCCTGACTGGCGCATTCAGCCCGATCCCAGCATCGTTGCCTCTGACTACTGGAAGTTCATCTTTGCCACATTCAACCGCAGGTTTGCCAAAGAGTACAGTGCAAAGCCAGCAGATCTCCCCAAAGAGTGGTTGAAAATCACCAAAGGCCAAGCTCTGGATAGCATCCGAGAAGCCTTCAACATGCAGTAGAGCCTAGACCCTCCTCTGTATTAGTGTGTTTTGTGAGCCAGATTCTAGCACTGCCCTTTGCTTTGCCAAGTCAGATTGCCTTTATACGTGGTGTCGGAGGAGCTTTGGACCTGTACTATTTCCTCAATAATATTAGGAAAAATAAATAAGAGAAAAGCAGAAACTCTATCACGTGGCTTCCTGTTCACTTTATAGTGGGTCACTACTAAAGCCAGACCCATTAGATCCACTTGAGGCTTGCTGGGGTAGGGATCCCACCCAGGACAATCTCAGTTTGTTCCTTGGGTGAAGTGGCAGCACCGTGGAAAGAAACTCAGGGCTCTGGGTTTCCCTGGAGACAATTTTGCATGGCTCAAGTCAGGGAAGTTCGCGGAGATGAGCTCTTCTCTTCTGGCACATTCACTAGGAGCTGTGGGATAATGGCAGCATCTCTTGCTGCATCACTGGGTGAAGAGCGGGGGCCTGCACACCCAACCTCGTTCACAGGAGGGAGATGGGATGCCCTGATAGCAGAGCATGAGACTCCTGATGAATAGGCTTATACAAGTGAGGAAAGGAGGGGAGTCATGCATGATGAGAAACAACTGCATAAGCCAACAGCAAAAGGACAGGATTTGTGGGGAGGGGAAAGGACTTTGAAAGTTATGGAAGTGGCAACAGGCCCTTGAGATCCCATTTTGCAGAGTTTGGGTGGGATTCATTGCATGTTGCTCCCCAGGTGTGTGGGGTGGGGGCAATGCAGAGGGGCTGTGGGAGGAGCTGTTCCTGGATTGCCTTTGTGGTGCAAACAGTGGGAATGGGGCAGAGGTGACAGGTGGGGGGAAGAAGAGGGAGGGGGCTGTGGTCAGGTTGCCCACAGGGCACTGCAGTCCTATCCCAGGACAGGGGTGCCACAAGCCTCCCCTCCTCTTCTCTCCAGCCCATGCAGGGTCCAGACATGCTCCCCCGCCACCTGCATTAATTGGAGTCACAGCACTCTGACCCGGGCAGGACGGGAACAGTTGGGGTCCCTCCGGTAGGGCTGGAGGGGCAGGTAGCTATGGGTGGGGAGTGAGGGGCATTGGGGTGCAGAGGGCACTGGCAGCACCACAAGGCTGCGGGTCTAAAGTGACCAGGTTTGCCCGTCACTTTGGGGCGTGCTCATTTGTTACGGCCACATGCACATGCTAACAGGGTACGTCTGAGCAGGCCGGGTCCGATCAGCACTTTCAGCTGATACCCTCGTGCACCTCAAAACTCAGCACGTCCCAATCTGTCTTCCTAGTAGTAACTCCCTTGATTTATGGGGCATTACAGGGATCTTTGGTTTAGGTTAAAAAAGCATTGGTGCAGAGCAAATGGGGAGGTCAACGGGAAGGACGAGTAAGTGAGGCTCAGAGAGAGAATATAGCAACCAGCTTGGTATATGAATTGATGATGATACCAGTAGCAATAGCCATACAAGAGAGACAAATAAAACAGTTACAGTATTACATAATTTCAATTACTTGAAGTCCAGCTCAAGTTTGATGACCAAAGTCCAGTTTAGAAAGCTGTGCCTGGAGTAGGAGAGTAAAAGTCAGGTTCCTGGAGTCAGAGAGAAAGACAGAGAGAGTTGGGGTCTCACCACTCAGCGAAGTTTGAACCAGTCCAGGTCCCCAGCTTGCAGACAGGCAGTCCCGAGCACGATCAGTGCAGGGTTTCCAGGCAGAAAAGGAAGGGAAGTAGACTAGCCCACCCCAGCAACAGCAACATATCTTACGTGCAGCTCCGCTGGCTGCGCAGCGCAGGCGTGAGGCTGCTGCTCCTGCCAGTGGTGTGTGGGGAGAAGTGCAGGAAGAGTGCCCCGAGGCATGGCGAGGAACAGCAACAAAGAGCAGGCTGGGATAGAAGAGGCAGAGTAGGCAGCATCCTGCTGTGTGCCATTGGTGTGGAAAGGGTCTCACATCCCAAGTCCTTGCTGGTTTAAGAGAACACTACTGCTGAAGTTGTAGTAAAAAGGACATATCCAGGCAATAGGCTGTACCAAGAGAATTAAAGGAGAAAGTGCCATAAGACATAAAAAAAGGTAATAAGGTATAAGTGGGCGCATCTACATGAGATATTTAGTGCAGAGTAGGGTAATTAGAGTGCCCCTATTAGGCTGGAGTAAACTAATTAACTCTGCAGCAGGATAGTACATGCAAATACAAATACTATCTCACTGCAGAGTTTTTTTACTCCCCGGCAGCACGTGTAAATGCTGCCCCAGCTGGCTGGGTGGGGCATGAGGGTGCTTCAGTGTGGGGGCTCTTGGGGCCCAGCCAGTCCTTCTGCATCATGTTGAGTCAGGTCGGAGCAGCCCTGGGCTGGCAGGCTGACTCCTGGGGCCTCCCTGCCAGCCTTGGCTGCTCTGACCCAGCTCCACATGCTGCAGTCCTGGGCGCACGTTCAAACAGTGCACCCAGGAGCAATTCCAGAGCAATTAGCTTCAGAGTTTACTGCTTCATATTAATTGCATGTGTAGACATGCCCAGTAATAGGGTAATAGTGATATAGATAGAATGGAGTAGCTACCCTGAGCCTATAGCATGTGAACAAGGGTGATAAATCAGCCATGTGGGAAAACCCTTAAAATGGAGTTAGATACAGGCTCTGCAGCATCTCCTCTCTCATATTCTGAATATATAAACAACTTAAAATGCAAGTAAAGGAGACCCCAGTGTTAAACACACACACAAGGGGCATGTCTACATGTTCATTAATATGCCATCGTTACTGCGCATTAAGTTTAGTGCTTAGATAACCAAGTAGTAACTCAATGCACAGTAACCTGCACTACTGCGCAGTAGCGCCAGTGTGTGGGTTGTTAGCAAGGATTACTGAGCAGTAGCCTAAAAATAAGACTGTGCAGTAGCATATTAGCACAGGTTGTGCCTAGCTTGCTACTGCACAGTGTTATTAGGCTGCTGCACAGCAAGCCTCTTACTTGCTGCTGGAAGTAGAGGCTTCAAAGGGTTATCTTACCCTAACGATGCAAAAAGGCGATACCAGTATAATCAATGTTTGCTATTGCCTCTGTTCCTGCTATATGGCAGCAACCAATGGAGCAAGTGTTACAAGGGATTGCAAGAACAGTGTAATTTGGATGACATAATTGATGGAGAATATCTGAGAAATGTGAAGAGAGCATTTGAACATCTAGAAGAATATGGGCTGTGAGCAAATCATGGGAAATGCAAATTTTTCAAAGTCAGTTGCTTATTGTGAGCATGCTATTGATGCACAAGGCCCACGTGAATCTCAAGAGAAGATTAAAGCAGTTTTCAAAGCTCCACAGCCAAAAAATATTACACACTTTAGATCTTTTCTAGGATGTATTAATTATTATGGTAGATTTGCACCAAACCTAGCAACTGTGGTTAAGTCCTTTAAATCATGTGCTGTAAATGGGTTGGATCACATGAGAACCAGATAGCTTTCCTAGAAGCAAAAAGGCTGGCGACATCTGATAGGGCACTTGTTCACTTTAATCCATCGTTGAAAATCAATCTAGCATGTGATGCAACCTCACGTGGCACTGGGACTGTTATACCACATACTACTGAACAGTCCATAGGATTTGCACCGTGCTCACGGAGAGCAGCCGAATGCAGATAGACAAAGAAGCATTAAGGCTGGGGTACAGGATAAAGCAACGTAACCAAAACCTACATAAGAGAAAGTTTACAGTGGCCAGAGATCACCAGCCTTAATCTCAGGTCTCCAGTCTAAGAAAGGGGTGTCTGGGACTACTGCATGCAACGGTGGGCCTCTCTTTTTAGCAATTCACTTTGGATGTTCAATACAAAAGAATAGACACATGGACACACTGGTGGACTCCCTCTCTTAGCTGTGAAATAGTCTTCTGTAATAGAAACTGAATCTATTGAAATTGTTCACTTATTTCTGCTGGACTATGCCCCAGCGACTCGAAGTATGATTTCAGCAAGAAACCAAGAAAAATCCCACACTGGCACAGGTATATGAAGCCACCCTGAAAGCTTGGAAGTATATGAGAGACAGACTCATCCCTATCCAAAATTAGCAGGGTTTAGGGTTGAAAACCAGGTTTAGTTATGAGGCACGTTAATAGGGGGGCTGCCGATTTGCTCTCAGCCTTTCCTATGGCCCTGCTGCGAGAGTCAGCATCATCATTAAGGACCCAGGAGGTCTACCCATTTCCAATGTCCCTTCTTCCCCAGGCTTCTTCTCCTCTTTAATGATGGGCAGGTGGGCCCCGGTCAGCGAAGTGTTGTGGTTGTTATGTCCTTCACTGAGACAGGGAGGACGTGGGCAGGCCAGTCCAGCCAGCGGGGCTGGATGTGGATGGGGGAAAGCAAAGAAACATTGCTGTGCAATGAACCCCAGCCTTGCCCTTGGTGGCATCAGACTCATGCTCCTCTCTAATGGGGTCAGATGTACGGGGAAAGCAGCACTGGCCTGAGCCCTATTGTCTGTGCCTATACTGTATGAGCTGGCTAGGATATGCCAGCTAGTATTAAGGACATGGCCTTCCCCATTGACCTTCCCAACAGGTGGCTGTCCTACCTAAAGTAGGAAAGGTCACCACAGAAGCAGATTGGAGTTGACTGGTGGGACCATGGAGACAGATAGGTGTTGCGACCCAGGGACTTGGTCTCACAGACCCATAAGTCATGGGTCTCATCCTAGCTGGGGGTGGCTATAGAGGTGCCGAGATGACAAGAGCAAGGCTGGGGGCACGGAAGAAGGACCCCTCTGCAGAATTGCATCTAGTGTGGGTTGGGTCTAGGAGAGGGTCAGGGCCCTATAGCTGGGTTCCTATTATCTGGGCTAGGGGAGGCTCCCAAAGGATTTTGAAAATTGTTCATTTCTGAAAGCCACTCCCCACAGACCAATAAAACTTTCTTCATGGCAGGGTCTACCCTGGAATGCACCTAGCAAAAGGGTGGAAAACCAAGGAAGATTGTGAGCTGCCCAAGACCAAAAAGTTATTAAGAATTAATTCATGGACATTCTCTTTATTTTTTTGTAGTGCATGTGTTATCCAAACTGATCCAAGTGGTGGGACGGGAGCCTTCCTAGTTGATGTGGAAGTTAACGGAATAATCAAGAAAGTCAAAAAGCAGATCACACAGGTAATGTCCTAAAATGCCAGAGGAAGGAATAGTGAAGGGACATCTGGCTGTGCGTCTATGTGGGAGCTGTGGACTGGATGGTTCAAAGAGGTCTCTTTTCAGGGGAACTTTAGCATTGCATCCCCTGGTTTTTATCTTCTCCGTGTCTTAGCTCCATCACTTCAGCCGTGACCCGCTTGTCTTCTCCGTGTCAGCTGCAGCTCCAACTTATCACAACAGCTGGCTTGGGACACCTCCATTGAAGGATGGGTGTAGGACCCCCATCTCCACTGCACAGCTAGCAAAAGATGCTCCCTGTTGAGTGCAAAGATCCACTCGTTGCTGGTGTCCGGTGAGGGGGGAGCTGGCAGAGAAACAATTCCTACAGTTGGCTCAATGGTCCGGCTTCTCCCTGTGCTTTGTAAGGCTCTTCTCACACCGGGTTCAAGAAAACGGCTTCCCCCCACCGTGAATGCGCTGGTGGGTGGAGAGCGTGGAGCTCTTGCTGAAGCTCTTCCCGCACTGGGAGCAAGAGAACGGTTTCTCCCCCGTGTGCACGCGGCGGTGCCTGGTAAGTGTTGAGCTGTCGCTGAAGCTCTTCCCGCACTGGGTGCAGGAGAACGGCTTCTCCCCCGTGTGCACGCGCACGTGCCTTATGAGGTTTGATCGGTCGGTGAAGCTCTTCTCACACTGGCTGCAGGAGAAGGGCTTCTCCCCCGTGTGCACGCGCAGGTGCTGCGTGAGCGTGGAGCTCTGAGAGAAGCTCTTCCCGCACTGGCCGCAGGAGAACGGCTTCTCCCCGGTGTGCACGCGCATGTGCGCCCAGAGGTTATCCCACCGGGTGAAGCTCTTCCTGCACTTGGCACAGCAATACGGCTTCTCCCCCATGTGCACAGGCTGGTGGCTTTGGAGGTTGCTCAGGGGGAGAAAGCTCTCCTCCGCCTCGGAGCAGAATGGGGGGTGCTCCCCCAGGTGCATTCTTTGGTGCCTAATGAGATGGTATTTATTTTGGAAGCTGGCCCCACACTCAGTGCAGGGGTAAGTCTTGTCCCTCCTGCGGGTTCCCCTGGGGGCCCTGAGCTCCTCTTTGTCTCCAAAGCTCTTACTGGGCTCTCTAGGTAGATACAACCCTTCCTCCTTGCGAACCCTATCCTCCTGGATCACCAGGTGCCTCTGTCCTTCAAATTCTTCCTTGCACACAGGGCTCTTTTGGGTTTCAATTGTTTTCTGTCCCTCTTGAACGGGCAGCTGGTTTCTGGCTGGAAGTGGGTTATGATTTGCAGGGCTTTCCGCAGGAGGCTTCTGCTGAACTCTGCTCTGTGTTTCAGCATCTGCTGGGTAGAAAAGGGAGGGCAGCAATGAGTCTCTGTTCAGCTGGCAGAGAGAAAAATCCCTGCTCTTTCCAACTTTCCAAAATCTGGAACATGCTCAAGAGCATGGCTGAGCCTTAGCTACTCTGTGAGAACAAGTAAAATCCTAAAGATCGGACACACCGAGTTCAAGATTTGATGCCCAGCCCAAGCTGGCCTGGGGGGCACTATAGGCACCGAGGGAAGCACCAGGCCCCAGCGCAGCTCAGGTAGGCAGGCACGCTCCGGGGAAAAGAAAAAAAAAAGAGAAAAAAAAAAAAAGGATCAGGCTTGCTGCTCGCCCCCCACCCCAAGTGGAGCCCGTCTACACGGGTTGCCGCCAGGTCGTGCAGCCCCTGAGCTACATGGGGCCTGGTGCTCCCCTCTGCTGCTGTTGCACTTCATTAGGTAGCAAATGAAAACACCCCTGGAGGTGTTTTATCTTGCTACGTACCCAAGTCATTTAAAGCTCAATATGCCGCTGAGAGTGAAAACAGCATCACCGTTTCATAGACATTAGGACTGGAAGGGACCTTGCAAGATCATCGGGTCCATTCAAGTGGCGCAAAAAGGGCATTTAAGCTGCTTTAAAGGCCAATTTTGTGGCATGTACAAAGGCCCAAGAAGCCCAATTCCCCCAGTCTTTCCTCATAACTCATGTCTCCCAACACCCTTACCATTTTTGTTGCCCTCCACTGGACTGTCTCCAATTTGTCCACATCCTTTCTGAAGTGGGGGCCCCAAAACTCGGCACAGGACTCCAGATGTGGCCTCACCAGTGCTGAACAGAGGGGAATAATCACTTCCCCTGACCTACTGGCAATACACCTACCAATGCAGCCCAGGATGCCATTAGCCTTCTGTACAACAAGGACACACTGCTGGCTCCTATTTAGTTTATTGTCCACTGTCCCCGCTAGGTCCTTTTCTGCAGAGCTGCTGCCCAGCCCATCAGCCCCCAGTCTGTACTGGTGCATGGGATTGTTTTGTCCTACATGCTGGACTTTGCTCTTGCCCTTTATTTCCCTGACTGTCATTGCAGGGGTGGAAGGAAGGTCCAATTCATACTAAGCATTAGGACCAGCAGCAGAGCTCCAGACTCCCTACAGTCCAAGCCTTGATAGTCCATCACGAGCTCTGCTGACTACGAGAGCTACCACAGGGCAATTTAAATTGGATCATACCCCGATGGTGCAGTTGTCATCCCTGGAGGTGTTCAGGAGGAGGCTGGACAAGCACCTCGTTGAGCTCGTTTGAGCCCAATTACCTCCTGCCCATGGCAGGGGACCAGACTTGATGATCTTACAGGTCCCTTCTGGTCCTTCTATTCTAGGATTCGGTCCAGGTAGGGCCACCTTGTGTTGGGATATCAACCCAATCAGGATGGATATTCTAGGCCATGGCACCTCGGGTATACCTGATTTGTATACCTGAGAGAAGTATCAACACTCACCTGGGGACAGGCCAGCAATCAGTGTATTTTCTCCAGGTTCTTCAGCTTCGCAGACCCAGAGCTCCACCTCCCCTCGCTGGATGCGGCAAATTAAGTCTGGGGTGGGACCGTGATACCCTGTTGGGAGAAGTGTAGAAAGGATGGTTAGGCTTAGTTGCCGAATTGGGATTTAGGGAATAGACGCAATGGACTCAAACATGTTAATGGGGAGTCAAAGTAAAATATAAAAGGTGGACATTTAGCAACCAAAAGATGACACTACAGGAAGAAGCCTTCAACAAGTTAAGGCCCTTGTGGCTCAAATAAGTGGAAGGATGGTCATATGAAAATGAAGAAAGAAAGGCACAATTCATTCAGGAGTATATACAGAATACAAAACTCACAGTGGCACCATCAAAGGTGGGCAGAGATGCAGTGATTTCCAATTTATGACAAAGGTAGAGAAATTTTTTATGGTTTTATTTTTAAAATACTAAAATGAAGAGGGAGATGGTAAAAACACTCCTGGCTGGATAACACAATTTATAATGGCACAATTCCAAGCAAAGAAATGGAAATGGGTTTATTCTCATTGACATTTTGCAAGGAGAAGTTGTGAAAGCTAGAAAAGTCAATGGCAGATCGATGACAATGAACAACTGCACAGGGGAGAAAGTTACTTAGCCACTCTTCGAAAATATAGGAAAACGTTATTGCAGCCAGTCAAGAGGAGCACGCATATCAGTGCTCTCCAGTTTGATTTTAGAAAAGGAAAG